GAAAAAGCCAAAACACCACAACAAAAAGTCCCAGGCCCTTCGTAAGCAAAAATGTAAGATTGGTCTGAGTATGGAAAAATAGAATCAAGAAGATCGAAGTCCAGAACGTGATGAAAAAAAGTTATTTCATTGAATTTCAGAGGGCAAGGAGGGAGTACGGTCAGTAAAGGGAAAGGAACAAGGAAGAGTCAGGCTGTGCTTGGCGCTGCTCATGTAACCCTCATAACATGACCGAAGGATGAGCAAATTCAGCACTACTCTAATTCCACGTTTTCATTCAAGGGGAATAATTTTCAACCTGCAGAGGATAGAATAAACATACTGAGAGGAACCTGAAACCTCTGTAGGTGAAAAGACAGAAAAAGAAAATCTGGGTTTTAAATGAGTTCAGAATTCTGAGCATAAATGCATTCTATCCCAAAGGGCTTAAAAATGAATAAATAATTTAAGTCTACGAGGCTTGAACATAAGAGAAAATGCAGAGGTAGTCACAAAACCATGTTACATAGTCCTTCAAATGAACACGTATCCCAATTTTCAAAAGAGAAAGAGCAGGCCTACTGCTATTTCAGACCGCTGTTATTAATTTTATAAAACATCCTCCATCAGGGGCCTCCCTGATGGCATAATGGATTAAGTCGCAGCACTGAGAAGGTATCTGAAGCCACTGCAGCACAAGTTTGATCCACGGCCAGGGAGGTGACACACATGGCACAGCAGACCGTTCGTCTCGCCTGCTGCTCTCCTCAGCAGTGCATTTCAATAGATCTGCCTGTTCTGCTCCCCAATCGTCCCTGGTGAGTCCTCTCACCCCTGTGCCTCTGGGCTGCACCCCAGCTCTTACATGCATAAATAAATATTAAAAAAAAAATCCTTGAGCAGATACTAAATAGTGGGTAACCAAGAATCCTAATTTTTTAGATTTAAGTAATAAGAATATACAGATACAGCAAACTAAACTACACATTTAGAAACAGAGCTTAGTACTGAAATTAAGTGAAACTTATAACCAAGTTAACCTGACATCTTCAATAGTACACAGTTATGATACAGCATGGTAATCAAGCAGAAATGGAGCCCTTCATGGAAATGAAAACAATTCATGTTCTTTTAAAGCAGCAATTCTGAAGTCAGAAAATGAGAATGGGAGACAGAAACCAGCCCGGAGTTGTTTTACTTCCTATGCCACTTCACCCAAAACAACCTTAAGAGGAGGAAGCTGCCCTGCCTTATGCCAGTTCCAGACTCAGGACCTAGGACCTACTAGCCGGTGCTGGGTCACCACATCTCCTAGAATTCCCCATGAAAGGACCCAGGAGAATCTGGCCCTAGTGAGGCAGGGATAGTCTTCCTGATGAAATAGTATACCCAGAAACATCCAAACAGGGATTGAGTTAGTTGGAGCAAGTGGCTGGGCAAAGGAAAGAGATCTGAGGAGGAAGTGCCGGCCAGTGAGATGTCAGTTTAATACCCAGTGTTCAGGGAATGAGAATGGGGTGGAAAGAGGGTAAGCCTGAGTGGAGAATTGAGGTTGGGGGGGAAAGGGAGGGAGGCAGGCATTTAGAGGACAGCTCCTACAGGCAGAGAGACGGGGGATGACAAGAGCAAAAAGGCTTCAAAAGAAATCAAAATTCAGACTTTTCATAAGAATGAGCCCTGGGTTTGAAATGATAGGCTGTCTGGCATTTGCTTCAGTAATCTGGTATGTTTATGGGAACACGAGGGAGGGGCCGGGGGGCAGGGTGTACTGGATGACAGAAGACTGATCATAATTACTGAAGGTGGCTGATAGGTGCCTAGCAGCTGATCTTATTTTTTTATACTTTTTCTTTTTTTTGTTTTTTAAGCTATTAATGATTTTCCACTTGACTCAGTAAAATGAAATTTTCAAGTGGCCTACACAGTGTTGCCCCCTCCCCCACTACTTCTCCAGCCTCCTTTCCTCTCACCCTCTCCTACTCCCACCCACACTCTGCTATTCCTTGAGTTCACCAGGCACATTCCTCCCACCACAAGGCCTCACAAGGGCTGGTCCCTCTGCTCAGTTCTCTGCACCCAGATATTCACATAAATCACTCCTCATCTCAAGGAGGTATATTCTGATCCTATTTAGATTGGCAGCTCACTCCTCTTTCCCCTCCTCTTTAACTTTAGTGGAGTTAGCATTTCCTACCCCAAGTTTATTTTTTCTATAGCATTTATCCTTTCAAATATACTATCTAATTTTTTTATGTCTATTACCTCTCTCTGTGACTAGAATTCAAATCACTCTGGGCTAAGAAATTTTTGTTTTGTGGGAAAGGAGTTTCTCTTCCCAGCACCCAGTAGTAAGTGGAGTAAATGTAGACATTTTCAGAACTGTTTACAAGGATGAGTAGAGGGAGGGAGTGGTGCCTTTGGCTTTGGTAGAAGTATCTTCTTCAATAGTCAGAGTAGCTAAGACCCATCATACTCCCACTGTACTCTCTTGCACTAAACAAGAAATCTAGGGCATCTGATTTCTGAGGAGGAGGAAAGAACTGAAACATAGCTCATCAGAAATTACTGCCCTTCTCCCCAGCCTCTAGGCAGAGATTTCATAACTTGACTTGGAGACATCTAAGGCTATCTTCAGTGTATCATATAACATCATAAAATTTTTAACCAAACTCATGACAAAATGCAGAATTACTGTCTAATGCATAATTGAAAGATTCCAAATTGTCATTTTCAGGAAATTTTAGGCTTTAGCAAAATCCAAGTTTGGGGGAGGAAGTTATCATAAAACATAACTTCCAACTCAGTTTTGTGACTAAGAACATGGACATCAAAACCCAGTTTAAAAAGACTATTTCCCGCCAAGACTTTTTGCAGGGAAGCCATTTCCAATTACCTCACCGAGACCCGCATACACTTGCAGTTACTCCCTTTGCTGAGAAGTTATTTCTATATACACCTTCATTTATATATAGCACAAACTAGTTTGGACAAATTATGTCTTTAGGGCAGATACCTTATCACAAAAATATCCTAAGTGTGTGTGTGTGAGCGCATGCCACTCCAAATTTTCAGAACATAGGCAAAATCAGATAAACAACAAAATAAAACCCTAAAAAAGGCTGAGAATCTTTGCCTTAAGTGATAGCAAAAAGTGTTACTTATAAATACCAGTGATCGGCTCACAAGTGATTGTTCAGCAACATGTTGAATTCAGAACCCGGCTGACCAAGACCTGAACAACCTAGCCCAGAGTAAAACAGACAAGCTCCCTGGCTTCCATTTCCACACACCAGATGCAGGTGACTTGTGCGGCACCCAGACCTGAGCAAAGGGCGCCCTCTGGAGGCTCGCCATTTCAGGGCGAAATCCAGGTGTAAAGCTGCCCATGAAGCAGGTCCCCAAACATTCCGGATCCACATCAGGAGGCAGTCAAGCCGGCTTACAGATTTAGGCTTGCCGATTTGCCTTCTTAGTAAAACTCTCCTATTTGCTAAAGGATGCCTTCCTGCATTTTATCTCTAAAAGTCACTTGCTCAGTTCTAGTCTTTATTTGAAAAGAGGTCTCTTTGACTTGGCCCATAGATTCATTACATTTAAACCTCTTAAAGTTTCCCTTTCCCATAACTTATCTACATGTTCTTTCTAAAGGAAGACGGTTCTATTCCCACTCTCATTCAGGTTTTAAAGGTCCCTGTAAATGCTGCCTGACCAATCTGAGCCCAATCAGATTGCTCATTCCTAACTGGAATGAATATCCACTTAATCCTCTTACGTCTGTGGCCTTGGCCAGGAAAGAAGTTGGAGTCTGCTACTCCGTGTGCCATGGTATTCACACTATTCCTTAGAGAAAACAGTCCCAAGAGACAGAATCTAAACTGCCTCAGAACTGTAAAGCAGTTTCCTGTGCTACTGGGGGTAGAAAGGAGGAGCATGCTATTCAGTTATAAGAGATCCCACCCCCAAATTGCTGTACCTGTCAAGTGACAGGAATAGCTTCTGAACAAAAGAAATTTGCTGTTCTATGTAATAGTTCTATGATGCATTTATTTCAGTTCTGTCCTTAGTTCCCCAGCCTCTCAATTGCTGAGAAAAGAATGCTACCTGAAATTGTGTGAATTTTCAAAAACAGATTTTTCTTTCACCTATGAAATGGCCCATTCCTTCTCTTTGAAGAAAGACAACTTCTTTGTTCTCAAAACACTGAAGTTGACTTAGACGATTCTTTTTTCTGTGACGTCTCATAGTGGATGTACTGATTACAGACAAACAGCTTGTCACTAACCACAGCTGCATAATAAAAAGAAAACCAGTTTTCTTCTTTTTTATTAGTTTTCCTAAGACCGTCAAATGAAAAAAGAAAAACTAAGAAAGCAGAATGACTAAGAATGACAGAGTAATGAAGAACACCGAAGAGAAAAACAGTTTGTGTTGTGGATGCCAAGAGACTAAAGCAAGCCCACTGCGCTGAAAAATCCCTTTACTGATTACTTGCCTCAAAAATACATAAAGGTCACAACCCTTAGCCTTTTTTTCAGAGGAAGCCATAATCCAGTATGAAGAGTTAGAACCCAGAGTCCTGCAGAGGTAGAGGATAGCCTTAATATAATACAAGCTTCCAAAGCCTGCAAAGAACGAAACACACAAAATGTTGAGCTGAAGGATTACTTATGTCCACCAATTAAAGGATTAGACTATAGAGCTCAGAGTTAAGCTTCTCATGGCACCTATGTGCTGAAGATATGTTAGCAATTTTAACTCTTTGCCATTTATTAATGTTCAGAAACAGGAGCTTGAGAAGACAAGAAATACCTAAACAAGCAGAAACCCAAAAAATCTATCCTTAAAAAGTTTTAGAAGTCCTACAATTCTGAGAAATTAAGTAGTCATGTGAAAAGATAACCAGTCAGTAAGTTCTCTGGCAATAATCTGTGTCAATAAAAAAAGTGTAGAAGCTAAAGCTTGTTGGTCTCTTTTTTTCAAAGCTCCCATGTCATTAAAAACACTCACCTTTAGCTCTGAAAAGCATTATTTATTGGAAAGAAATATTAAAGGAAGTCTCTTTGTTTTCTACAAGGCCAATGTGGTTGAGCTACCCCCACTCTAACTTCCCCTCCCCAAAATATATCTCCCATTTGTTCATAAATTCTTTTCCCAGACTCTTGGAATCTCCTGGATTCCTTGATCTGAGATCAGGGCCTACATTTATGACAAATACAGTTCCCAGAGGACCCTGGAAGCAACATGAAATAATGCTGCCTTGTAGTTTCTTATCAAGAAAGGGTGCTAGAAAGTCAACAAATTGAGGTACTTGACATCATAACATCCCGTTCTTCAACAAAGCTTCATACAGCCCAGGAGGTAAAGTGTTCTTAGGTGAAATCAAACTTTCATGATAAATTGGTTCACCAAAACCTGGTAGTAGGCCAAAACCAGTGGGTAGTAAACCAAGAGTTTTGGTGAAGTCTTTAAAGGAATAAGTATGCCAAGATAGAAATCCAAATAGTAAGACAGACATAACTTTCTCAGGAAGATGTAGCTATTTAATCTTAGCAAGGGCAGCCGCTCTTCTTTCTGTGTTCTGGAACAAGGCACGAATTAAAGCTTTTACTTCATTGGATGAGAATGCAGCTGCCAATGGCCCTTTTCCATCTGCCCACCTGTAAAACAAAAGATAAGATTGTATTTCCTAATGTGTCTCTGAAAATGACCAAAAATTAAAAACTGCTTATTTGGACCCAAATACTACTTATTTTTTTAAAAAAATGATATAAACTAAATCCTGGCATCTTTCCCCTTCTTTATACTCTACCATTCAATATCTGTGACCTCGTGTGCTCTTGGTTGTATTCTGGTATCATCAGATATAGATGAAGAAGTCACGTAAGAAGATGAAATTGTTATCCTTTATTCTATACTCAGTAAGCTCGGTTTGACCACATTCTCAGATGGTCAAAAAACTTGGGCTCTGTAAATACTCTCAGAAGTGAACCACAAGCAACAACTTTTAACTGACTTCAGCTAAGAAAATACATAAAGAACTCCCATGAATCAATAGAGCTCACAAGCAACCCAGTAAAATAAAGGATAAAACACATGAACACGCATTTGTAACAGAAGAAACAATGTATAAAAAGATGCTTAGTGTCATTAGAATTTAGGTAAATACAAATTAAAATGACAGTAAACCAATATTTCACACCAACTAGATTAAACTCTGATAATACCAACACTATCAAATATTAGTGAAACTGTGATGCAACAGGATAAATAAACTGAGATGTTTGAATAATGGAATATGCTACAGCCATTAAAACTAAATCAGCTGCACACATTTTCATCCATAAATTTCATGAACATTAAATTTAAAACATTTCCAATACATTTTAAAGAACAATTTACTCAAAAAAGATTCAAAGACAGGTGAGTCTAAACTTTGTATTATTTAGAGATATGTACAAATATAGTAAAACTATAAAAGAAAAGCAAGGAAATAACTATGATAAAAATCAAGAGTGGTCACCTCTGGAGCGGAACTTTTGGAAAGGGGCACTCAGTGGTCTTCAAAGGTATTGGTAATATTTTTCACAAGTTTGGTAATAGATACATGAACATTTATTATTTTTCTTAAATCTCGAATGTTATATATATTGTACTCTTTGACATACGTGTATCTTGTAATTTTAAAATCTTTTAGGAGCTACAGAACTGGGGATAATCCCTTCAGCCAACATTTTCCTCAATTAGATATCCTTGTATTTACTGAAATAAATATTTATCCTTATAATCCTTATGTTTATCCTTACATTTACTTAAATCGCTGAGAAACATAATCTTGTAAGGCAGAAAAAAAGTGGAGCTATGCCATAATCTTCTTGTAAAAAAGAATGATCATTCTTAAGCTGCAATAAGGTCCTTGAACAGCAGAAAGAAAAATCATCTGCTGCCCTCTGGAGTCCATTACCAAAAGACACCTCTTACCCATTAAATAAAAACATGCTGTAAATAAAATAAATCAAAATTTGTAATAAATGTAGTTAGAGGTATTTTGACAATTTTTTTTCAAGTAAAATCTCATGTACATTGTTTTAGCATGTACAATATGCCTAGGGCAACTCACACATATCTAGGAAAAATGGCTCAAATGGGCACTGGTAATAAGCCAAGCTAACGCAGATAAAACAGTAGCCTTTCTATGTGTATGGTGCTTAATTGCTAAAACTACTATACTCTGCAGCTGCAGAAAACTGCTGGTCAATCAAACGATGTCTTGATGTTGGGTATTTCTTACAGACAAAAGTTACTTCTCTATTCCCATATCAAAGCCAGTCTGAAAATGCATCCACTACAGGTTTACACAGGTAAACACAGGTGTCAGAAAACCACCTTTCTTACAAATGTTACAGGATGTAACAAAACACGTACAAGATCAAAATAATGTGAAACAGGGACTCTTTATGTTATTAAATATGAGAAAATGGTAATGAGATCCACAATACAACAAACCACACATGGACGCCAACTTGCAATGCCCATTATGAAACTCTTTCCTGAGTAACATTAAAAACCAGAGAAAGGCACTGCTATCAACAGTACTAACACTTTTTTTGTAGCCATGGAGAGCTATATGCCTCCTTACATGGATTATACCTACCGATCCCCAATTTCTTGCAGGCTGGCTTGTAACATCATCATCAATTCTTTGAATGACATCCATTTTGGCACATAGACTGGAACTTCTTCTTGATATTTCTTGTTCTTGTTTTCTTCAGATAGAGGTGCAAATACTTGGGGTCCTTCATCCATCACTGTTTTGCATAAGAAATATAATCTATCACCATCTTCAGTGGAGATGTCCTGGTTTGGCACAAAAAACAGAAGAATTGGGCCTGCTTAGTTGTAGCAAAAGAGTAGTTCTTAGGGCACTCGCTGTGTGGAAGGTCAGCTACAATAAGAAAATGGGTTTTCCAACCACTTCACCACACCTCACTCAACATTAATCAGCTCTCAGACAACAGTCTTAAAGTTAGAACGACACAAAACATATTTCAATAGACTACCAGTAATTCAGTTACTTGCAAGAAAGAGCCCTTTCTTCAGTGGAATGTAGCACAGCTTGCTGCAAAGCAGGGAACTAATTAAGGGCTTAGTCAATCTATGTTCCAGAAACACTGGCCCGGAGATCCAGGCAACATCCCCCTGCATATCAGAACAACTTCAAGTGCATTAGAAAAGCGATACCCACACAAAAGTGCATTCCACTTTACATATTGGGGCCACTGAACAGCTTCCAACATCCTCATTCATAATTCACACAGATGCTAACTAATGAGAAGCAGTATAGTCCTACTTTCTTATATAAAAGAGATTAGTAAAAAAAGAATTAAAAACACTGAAAAATTAACAAGTTAAAAATGGAACAAGAATAATTTTTTATGCCATCTGTGTTGACTGTAAATGAGAATTCAACATCAATTTCTTAGTGAAGTGACCAGAAATGCACCTCATCTGGCAAGGCATTTAGTGGCCCTTACCTCGAGGGCAGTGATCCGTACAATGATCTCAGAGACTGCTGTATTGAGTAAAGTTCCCATAGTCTTGCAATAGATATTCACTGGCAGGACATCCTGCCACACAATTCCAAGTCTCTTTAGCTGGTGTAGTACCTGTCAAAAGAACACAGCTATTTACCTGGAACAGAAGTTGTTGTGACTCACATCTACACTTATCAGGTGTGTGTATGGAAGATGATGTCTTATATAAGCTGGTGTGAAGTAATCAAGAATGTATGCTTCTTGAATAAACTTAGTGTTATCCTTAGTTAAATGAAAAGCAGACTTATCCTGAGGATAAGACTTATCCAGAGAAAACTGCATTAAAAAGATAAGTCACTTAGAAGAGAGGAACATTACAGTGAAAGCCGAATTTTCCAAATCCAAATTCATGTGTAAAATATATGCTCTGATCTGATTAGTCACACTATTTGACTGATGAAAAATAGTTTTCTGTTGGCTTGGGGACCAGGAGATGGGAAAGGGCATAAACGTAACTGCAAAAGCTATCCAGGGTTTCCAATGCAGGGTTTGGGTAATCAACTGACCTACTGGTACATATTTTTTGCAACTTAAAAAGCAAGGGAGAAGAGTATCTAAAGATAAAGTACAAATTCTAAAGCTAATAACAGCTTCTGACCTGTCGGACAGCTTTATTTGCTACAGAATAATTCTCTTCATCGTCCATGTTTGAAAAATTTCTAGCACTTGATAACCTTTCCAGAAGTTCTCCTTTCTGTGCTCGCATTTGAGCCAAAAAACACTCTGTCCCTATGATAGAAAAACAGAATAAAGAATTTTAAAAGCTATTCAGTTACACATTGCAAAACCTGGGTTGAAGAGGAAAAACAAGCATGAACCATGTATCTGTTCTATTTGAAAGCAACTGTTAGATAACATCATAAAGCTGCCCTAAGGTTACTGCAAGCAATCCCTTCTAATTCATTAGCCAGTCCCTCCAAATGCACCGGAGAATAGTAATTCCTTCCCCAAAATTTGTCCAGAATTCAGATAAGAAAAATTTCAGATAAGAAAAATTACTTGACTACACGAGATTATTTTTCTAGAGTATCTATCACTTAAAGGAAAAGGCAGGGATTAAAAAGCTAAGTAAATAATAAAGATTCTCTGCTTTTCTTAGGCTATCATTATAGTTAACATAATGATTTAGCCCACATTTCACTTCTTTTGACTTTTAATAATCCCAAGTAAAGTGAAAGGAGGTAGGAGAGGATAAAGTTGTCTTTAGGTTTTGCAAAAAAAACACTGACATTAGTGAGTTCTTACCAACAATGCCACCAAATCTGTCACACCACCAATCTTATGATGTGTGATCCTACTGACATAATTCATTTGGTGAATGCACTGCATACAAGCCACCCATTTTAGAACACTTCTGTACCATCTCATGAAATAGTGATACTTCCACAAAGACTGTACTCAATTTATAACATTAAATCACTGGGAGCACTTGCAAATTAAATGCCCTTCAACTTGCCACTATCACTCTGGACTACCATCTAATTTCTAGCCACCTCATTCATAGATTACCAAGATACAAAAAGTTGAGAAACTATATAATCAGTATGCCTTCTTAAATTGAAGGTGTCGTTACCAAGCCTCCTGAAGCCAGGAACAAGATCCACAAAAGTAGCTGTGCCATCACAAAGGATGGGGGCCAGTCGTAATCTGAACTGATGTCCAAGGGTCAGCAAATGATGAGCAATGTACATGCAGTTGTTGTGGTGAATGGCAGCCAACTGGGGCAGTTTCTGAAGGTTCTCCCTGGGAAGAGTAGAAACACAAAGAAATCGCCTGTAACTAAATTCAGAGTTAATAAAAAGTTACTACTCTTCTCATGTATTTTGTTGGCTTTAATAACTATCTACTGTGCATAACATGGAGCAACCTCATCACCGCTACTCCCAGTCCGTAACGAGAGGTTGTTTTGGTTGAATGAGACCTGATGGCTAAAAGCTTTCACAGCGATCAACAAAATAGTATGGGAATCGAGATGTTTACCTGTCTCAACTCTCTGTACTAGAAACTCAGCACAGCTTTACATTATTCCCTTAAATTTAGCACTGAGAGTCTATAGAAACAGATTCATTTTCCTTTTCTCCAAATTCCTATTTCAATTGGATGACAAGGCCCTTAACTTAATTTCTAATTCACTAATTTTCAAAGCTGGCTGCAGATTGGTCACTTGGGAAATTTTAAGATATTCAAATATTTTCATTTCACCTATAACAAATTAAACACAATCTCTGAGTAAAGTCAGGAAATTTTATGTTTTAAAATATTTCCAGGTGATTTTCATTTTCATCCAGGATTGAAAAATCACTGCTCTACTCGAAAAGATCATGCTTAGTGAGATAAGCCAGAAAGAGAAAGAAAATACCAGATGGTTTCACTCATAGCAGGAGTATAATGGGCCAGGCGAGAAAATAACAAAAATAATGAACAACCATATACCAGAGACATTTT